CACACACACACACACTCACACACACACACACACACACACACACACTCACACACACACACCTTTTATTTCACATCCAGTTTCATGATCATTGACCACATCAGCCAAGTGGAACAAAAAAAGGGGGTTCAGGCAGGATACAAGAGCCTAAAATGTTCTTCCCAGCCTAGCATATCTAACACCCAATCTCATTAAAATGGATCAAGTCCCAGTGGGCTAACATTCATAGCATTCAACACTGCACAGAAACTGGGGGGTTCCCCTCAGTGTGCTAATCATTGTGACTACTGGGGTACAAGCCAGGGGAATAATATAGCACTCTTGCCTACAGGAAGGATCCCAGGGACACAGGATAGTCACTACGATGGGGGCCTTAGGAGTCCCCTAGAGCTGTGGTCAGGGGCAGATTTGGCTCTGGTTTCAGGGCCAAAGTGTGTTTCTTTCACTGGTCCTTTTTAGCCTTTTGGCTCTAATTTCAGGGCCAGGGTGTATTTCTTTCACTGGCTCTGATTCTAAGGACAAAGTGTGTTTCTTTGGCACTGTTTTCAGGGTCAGTGTGCATTTCTTTGATTCTGGTTGCAGGGCCAAAGTGTGTTTCTTTGGCTCTGCTCAGGGTGTGTCTCTTTGGCTGACCCTTTTTCCCTATACCTCTTCCCTCTCTTCCTCCCCTCCTCCTCCTTCCCTCCTCCTCACCCTCTGGCCTGGCCTGGCCTATCTGGCCAGTTGGATCTCTCCTTGCCTACAAGTGCAGTTTTTCTAGCCAGCCTGCAAGTCTGAAATCACAGGAAAAAATCTTCTCCCCCACTTTAGCCAATTCTAGCCACTTCCCAAGAGTCTTTCAGACTTACCCTCCTCTGCCCATATCCTGGATTGTACTCACACTGGAGCAAACCCCACTGCTATGGCCAGCAGCCTTCCTCTAGGCCCTTACTCTTGACTTTGCTTCTCCAGCCCTCCGTTAGTTCCCCAGAGCATCCCCATGCCCTAAAAACAAATACTCACTCCTTACCTTGACCCACAAGGCCCCCAGTGACCCAGGAGGCACCACCTGGCTCTAACCCTGGCCCTGGCCCTGGCCCTCCTGGCTTCCTCTCTTCCAGGTCCTCAAATCCTTCTATGAGTGCCTGTGAGTCACTGAACAAGCCACTCATCGGACGCACCACTCCTGGCCGCTGCCTCCACCCTAACCATCCGAGCTCAAACCCACATCACTGACTCAGGACAGCCCACCCTGATCCAGCTCGGAAGGTGTACAGAGCCTAGGCAGGGGAATGCCATGTTTAGATGGACACACCTGGGATCGCAACATATGGACAGATGGCCAAACTTTCTAGGCCTCAGCTTTAGCCTCTGTACAACAGGAGTAAAGGTCTCCATTGGCTGGAGGGAGCAGCTAGCTAATATCTACAAGGGGCCTAAAGCAGTGTTGTCTGCCACACTCTCAGTTCTCAGGAATGTTTGATGGGAACCTGTCACACACATACCCCATGGTGTCCCATAGGTACCTTTCTGTCGGAACACTTCATCCTGGCTCTGTTACTGTCTGATGACATGTATAACCCTTACCACGACACAGTTCCATAAAGATGGGGCAAGACTTGATTTCATGCATTCGGGAACTGGACACAGGGATGGCACTCCCACCATGCAAGAGCAAAGAACCCTCCATCTCAGACAGCCATCACTGTCCCAGCACAGTATGCACTGTCAACCAGAAGGGCCCGGCCACAGCCACCAGGCAGTATCCCAGGGGCTGGTGTGAGTGAGCTTTGAAAAGGCAGACCCTGAAAGACACAAATTCTCACAGCAGAAAAGGCAGAGATGAATATCTGGTTGTTTTGAGAGCCTCTGCATCAGGGCAGGCTCCTCTGACAAACACAGGTATGCTGTGGGCAGGAAGAGCCACTTCCTTGGAGAAGGGGGACAGAGTCCTCCCTCTGTATCCATATGGAAAGGGCAGAATCATCTATGTAACAATCCACGGTGCAGATGGAACCAGAGTCCAGTTCTGCCCACCTCCCAGCTCCATCCTAAACTCCTGGGAGAGCTCTGGTGCTGTTCTAGATTAGAAATCCTGCTCAGTGGGCAGTGGTGGCACCCCAGTACTGGGGAGGCAGAGGCAGGCAGATCTCTGTGAGTTTGAGCCCAGCCTGGTCTACAGAGCTAGTTCCAGAACAGTCCTGTTGGTCACACAGAGAAACCCTATCTTGAGAAAATAAGGAAATAAGAAAGGAAGAGCCGGGCATTGATGGTGTACGCCTTTAATCCCAGCACTCGGGAGACAGAGGCAGGCAGATCTCTGCGAGTTCGAGGCCACCCTGGTCTACAGAGTGAGTGCCAGGATAGGCTCCAAAGCTACACAGAGAAACCCTGTCTCGAAAAACCAAAAAGAGAGAGAGAGAGAGGGAGGGAGGGAGGG